TCCATGTTTACTAAGAAATTTAGCTAAATTTATAACCCGATAGTGAAAAAGTATTCAAGGTACACCAACCTCTATTAGGCTGCCAACCTCTATTAAGCGGCCACCTCCCATTTCCCCGAGGGTAGCCCACTATATTATATGTAAACCAAAAATAATTGCACAGCGCGAAAAGACCTAGGTACGAGTTTAGCGTTAAAGTATTTACGCAGGGCGTGTAGGTAGCGGTTGTCTAGTAAAAGATGACAACACGGGCAATGGTTGACTATTAATTCTTTTAATTGCTTAATTTAATATCTTCCTACTCAACAAGATTGTGTGCTCCCTGTGGTTCCAAGCCTTACGGACCCTTAGGTATTAGCTATTAGGATAGAAAAAACAGAACAATGGCGTTTAGCCCTGGATGAAAGTAAAGTTATCGGCGTCATCTTTGTCGATTTTCAAAAAGCGTTTGATTGCGTAAATCATTCAGTTCTCGCAAGAAAACTTCACTCTATAGGCATCACTGGTTCTTTTTACGACTGGCTTTTAAACTATCTTCATAATCGTAAACAATTTGTGTCTTTAAATGGTTCAAACTCAGATCATATGGAAATCGTTACTTGTGTGCCCCAAGGATCCTTACTTGGTCCCAGACTTTACAGTATCTACTCAAATGATCTACCCAGAACCACAGTGAATGCCTCTGTTGAAATGTTTGCAGACGACACCACAGCCTTCTGCATTGGAAACACTGTTGATGAAGTATTAATTAACATACATAAGTCAATTGCCGATTTAAACAATTGGGCCAAGAATAACTTCATGACCATTCATTCCGCAAAAACTGACCTAATGTTGTTGTCCAAAAAAACTTTTATTGGACCCTTACCAAACATTTGTCTAGGACCTAATGAGCTGTCCTTTGTCTCCAAAACTACATGTCTGGGTGTTCAATTGGACAACAAGCTATTTTGGTCACCACACGTAAAATCTCTGAGCAAGCGTTTCTCGGCAAGACTAAATAAACTTAAGCGTTTAAATGGTCTCGACAAACACATCTTAGAATCAATTTAATTTAAAGGTATAATTCCAAGTGTTACTTATTCAATTACACTGTGGGGATCTACAAAGTCACTTCAATCCCTCGAACAAATTCACAATAGAGCAGCGACGTTTATCTTTAACATTAAGGAAACCGTTCTAGACACCGAAGTATTAAAAATGGCAAATTGGAAATCGTTA